TATCAATCGGTAAAAATTGAAAAATAACTGGCGTCAACTAATAATTAACGTAAATTGAAAAATGACGCATAACATATATAATATTTGCACATACCTGATATTTATTCTTTGAGACCATATTCGTGCTCTTTAATAGCATTAGAAATTTGTAATTCTCTTAATTTTTCTTTACATTCTGCAATCACCAACATGCGCTCCTCATATTCTAATTTTTCCATCATCGTCATACCAGGTTCTTTGAGTTCATTATTGCTTTGAGATTCTTGTAATGTTTTATCAGTTAAATCGATTACTTTAGATATTCGTTGTTTTTTATTTTTTGTTGATTTAACTTTAGATTTCCGTTTTGCTATTTGTACAAATAAATACAATTTAATAATAATGTAAATATTAAAAAAAAATTAAATTAAAATAAAAAATACTGACTGCTTCGTTTAATAGCCAATTTTTTTCGTGCAATACCACTTTTATCTTGACCATTTATATTAACATTGTAATTGGCTTTTATATTAATTCTTTTAAAATTGTGCATGTCTATTTTTTGTCCTCTAAAAAAATTAAATAATAAATATATAATATAAAAAAATATATATTATATTTATATAAATAAACCTTAATATTGCCGTCATTAGCTTGAGTTGCTTGCCTTCACGATTACTCATAGCATGCGCTGCTTCGGCACAATTTGTACTATTTGGTGCCATGTGCCATAAGTCATGTGGAATTTTTGAGATATTTGGATTGAGCGATGCAATAATATAGGGTTGTTTATAATATTGAACCCAATCTATTTTATTTAATAAATTATTAGCTTATTTAAAAATAATATATTAATTATAAATTTATAAAACTTACCCATAAGATTATTATCTAATGCTAATAATTCGTCAAATATTATTCTACTTCTTCGGGTTGAGCAATTAATAATAATTCCATTTTAGTTTTAATATTAATTTCAAATCATTTTTCATGTAATTTTCTGTATAAAAAAAATAAATTATTAATATTAATCTATTTAATAAATAAATTTTAATTATTATTAGTAATTACTGTTTATAATGAACTTGACAAGATTTAAAAATATGGATTAAATGTTCTTCCCAAGTAATAGAATTATTAATTAAAACTAAAGTTTTACCTAACCCAGTAAGCTGCACAATATCAAGATCGCCAATAATACACGCCCATCCTTTTTCATGAATATGATTAAATTTTGCTAATTCACCAGTAAATTGCTTGACAAGATCAAATAATGTATTAAACATGCATTGATATGCGATAGTAGTTGCTTGATTTGTAAAAATTCGAGCAAAAGTTAAAACTAATATGCAAATAAATTATAATTAATATATGCATATATATTATAAATTTATATATATTATACGTAATATAAAAAATACTTGTTTGTATTATATTGCTTATCATAATAATTTATTTCAAATTTGTTAATTTCACCAGCAACTCTTTTAAATGATAGATCAATTTCAAAATAATCACATTTAATCCATTTAGTATTTGAACTTGAGTAGTACAAATTATCATTACATGTCCGTCATTAAAAAATTTAAAACAAATAAATTAAATAAGTAAATATTAAAATTTAAAATTTATATATTAATATATATATATATTTACTTAATCGTTGAACATAATCCTGTAAGTTATCAATGTTACATGAAAAATTGTATACAACTCCTAATAAATCTTGACCGAATGGATGTTTTTCTTTTTGAATCTTGTTTATACAATATTGTAACTTATTCGTATCATTAAGCGAAGCATGAACTTCACATAAATTATCAACACCAAAATAGGTCTTGATTAAATTGCCTAAAATATAATTAAATAAAAAATATTATATTTTATAAATATATATAAAAATAATATTAAATAAATTTTATTTTAAATTTACCTGTTATAATCAGGTAGGAGTTATATCTAATAAATCTTTATTTGCTTGTTTAACAAGTATTTGTAACTCTTGTTTGATATTATCTGGAGTTCATGTAGGAGAAGGTGGTGGATGTGTCTGTAATCCTTTACATATAAGAATTACAAATGGATATGCTTGAAGATCTAATGGTATAATTTTATAAAATTTAACTTTGCATGATTTTTTTTTCTTTTAAACAATTAAAAGCTACTATAAACTGTATATTTTTTGTTCATGTTTACTTTCTCGAAATGGATAATTTTTACTTTCAAACTTTCAATGATCCTGACCTTCATATTAGTGACCTCCATATATGTGATGATTCAGACTTTCATATTATTGATGAGGTTGAAACTATTTATGAAGAAGATCTAAAATTCTTAGAAAATAAAAGTATATTAATTTTTTCTGATGATAAACTTCAAGAGAATGATAATATTGCAAGCAATTTAAATAAAGATACAATAATCTGATTTACTAAAGAATTAGCATCGAAGATTATTTATCATACTTTAATGCCTATAAAATATCCTGAAACAAGTTCAGAGGGTGTTGCTTATGTGTATAATGTTGAAGGTTGGGAAGAACCATTAGCCGCATTCAAAGATATTAGTAAATTTTTATATATTTAATTTATTATAATTATATTTTACTTAATATATTTATTTTTAGATTCAATATTTAATTGGCAAGCCTGGTGGTGAATATAAGGTTATATGTCCATATCTTGGTGTTGAAGTAAAATGTGAAATGCGAACCTGTCAAGGTTTTAAACTTTGTAAATTTGCCACACATGAATTATATAATCAAATGCATCAATATGTCGATATTAATTCTAATTTAATGATGCAAATAACTCAAGAAATTTTATCCAGTAATATGAATAACAATACTTTTGAGTAAGTAATAAATCTTAAAAGTTTTATAATACTATAATATATTAATTAAATTAACATTTAATTTTAGACTCTATCTTGCCGCCCTTGAAATACCCTACAAGTTTCAAAAAAAAAACAGACAATTATGTGAAGGCAAATTTACAAAGTTTAAAACCTTGACAGGTTCGCATTTCACATTTTAC